AAAATGCGATGCAACTTGGAACGACTGCAATTTTCTTAGAAATTTGATGTTAATATTAGGGGTAACGCAAAGTTAACAAGTCGCAAGTCAGTTAAGTCGTGAAATTACAGAGACTTAGCAGAGTAATTGCGCAATTTTGAGCAGCGACGAAAGGACACAACGAACGACATTCGGCTAACGACGGCACTCGACGTTAGTGGGTCTTAAGTTTTAGTTCATGCTTTCGTTCTAATCCTAACCGAGCTAGTACTTGTCAGCACTGATGTTATAATATATTTAATTAAAATGCACTGCGCCAACCAGAAGCAATTACGAAAATTATTACGGAAACAATTATTCAAAAAATTTTAAACGTCAGTTACGATCAGTCTGGAAAAGAGCTTAGTGCATCGGCTATCATTACTCATTAAGTTTGCGATGCGTTCGGGCGCTCCCTTCATTATCCTCGCAACATAATTCAATCACTCATTGATGCAGGGATTAATTTTACTCCCGGTAGGCAGGAAAAAAGACCAAAAAACGTCTCGAAAAAAGAAGAATGAACGTAAGATCCGGCCATCTCTAGTCTGGTGTATAATGAGTTGGGGAGATTGCGGGCCTCCCGCAAGAAAAGGGGGCATAATCGGCGAGGAAGACTGGGCGAAAAATTTAACTGCCGATGTGGAAAATAGGTGTTCACGCTTGGAGAGATTCGTCCGGCTGGCACACACGGCAATACCGCGTAATTGCCTTGTCTGTGCAGCCACAAAAAAGAAACCAAGAAGCGGTATATCTCAGGTGCATGCATCACTTGCTAGATCTCGGCGGAGCTTGTCGAGTGAGCAAAGTCTCAAAATGAAAACGTTGGACGCGATGTTTGCGTAGGACGATGGCAGCATAGTCGCTTCCTGTTTTCCAGCGAAAGATGGAAAACATCAACAAGATGAGAGAGCAACAACATAATTTTATTTCAAAGCAAACATCGTAGTCTACAGCAATATTTGGTAGCAAAACGCCCCAAGGAAAAAAGATCCATGGACACAGCAGACACATACGTTTGAAAAAATATAAAAATAAATAAAATTCTATACAAAAATAACGAATATGATGTAATTAGACTTGAATTCAATTTGTATGCCTACACAAAAGTACCTACAACTTGTCATAGGGCTGAATTTTTAAGAAAACAAATTCAGTTAGGTCGAGGGTGTTTTAATGCAACGTTGAATTGCAAGAATGTCCTGCAGGCGTGCGTTGTGTTGTGCTGTGTGCACGAAACGTTAGGCAAAATAAACGAAGCGACCCCGCATGGTGTGCTCGCATGCCCTAAGCTGGAGCGCTGTCCTGCAGGGCCTGGATGCAACGGCGGCGGCGGCGGTGTAGTCATGGCAACACCGCCGCTTGCTGCTCCCATGACACCAGAGACCCGGATATACGTGTGCGCGGGGCCTGTGTTCCGGCGTTTCCACGTTCGTTCGCCTCCCGATATGAAATATTACTGACAGATGGAGTACAATGAAAGTCACTAATTTTCCGCGTCCGCCGCCAGGAATTGCAGCAGAAACAAAAGTAACTCGCGAAGAAGCGAGCCAAAACGGGAAAAAACGTCGAGGGGCGATATCTTGACGCTTCGTACATACTAAACGCAGTTAGCGGAAGTTACGGAGGTGGCCGGGCAATAAAAACAGCAGGAATGAACATGGCGAAGAGGAGTTGTTCATCCTGGAGCAGGAATACACTTGTAATTATCTTGGGTATTACAAAATCTGAGGGTTAGATTACAAACGAAGAAAAAAAAACGCTGTAATATTCCCCAAAGTTTTAATAGCCTGTTGGAATTAAATCAATTTTAGCAACCACAAACGACCATCTTGTAATGTGATCTCACGCACGAATGATACTTCTAAACTTGTATTACAAACTTAAACCAAACTGCAGACCAACATCCAGAATTACAACTTCATACATTGCTTCCTATTTCCTCTAGCTACGAATATAACCAGCAGATTGTAGACACTTTTAACACCCAGCTCATGATAGCTCCAGGAAACTTAGGAAATGACTACCAACATACGTAAATCTATATTTACATAGCATATGTTTATCAAAAGTTGCATTGAACGACGCCCACGCTTTACGAAACAAACCTCAAGATTTAATATGCAAGGATATCGCGAATAAGCCAGCGCGCAAGTTTGACTTATATAAAAACCCACGTGCTGCTCGTGTTGCCTTACAAGACCAGCCTCCACCTTCGGGAGTCGGTTAATATACGCATATGGAATGACAGTCGCCTAAACGTAGATTCCAGAACAAAACGTTTAATTTATTCGCGTTGAACTAACGTCGGTTGCGTGTCTGCTGGCGCGGTAGGTTATCTCTTCAGCCTATATGGCGATGGAAGATGGCTGCCAACGTCTTTTTGCGCCGAGACTTTTGCGGCGGCGGCGTCTAAATATGCAAATTGCGCTGATCCGAACTGTATCGGGATAAGTTAATGCGACGTGCGGGCTGAATTTATCGACAAACATCTTTTGTACCTGGCGTTTATTTAGAGTAATAATCGTTTTTCACTCTCATAAACTCACTAAATGTATAAATAGCGCACAATGTATTTATTTATTATTACGCACACATGGTACCAAAACCACAATGATATCGTATTTATTCTGGTAAAACATTGTCAACACTGATAAGACTTTTATTCAAGGCGGGTTTATTTGATGTTTAACGGCGCGCGTGAAAAATACACGTTAGCGCGTATTCTTCCCCTGGCGGTTTAAAAAATTACGGGTTACTTCACCCCAGCGTGTGTGTGGGGGACATTTACAAACATGCGTGGTGTATATTTCAATTTTTATCTGCACACACCGCCGTGAAATATTTAATTTTATCGTTCGAAAAGCAAATTTATATCTGTGAATTCAAAAAAGGGGAATATTATTTTAAAAACTAATTTTACATTGCAAAATATTTTGATATATAGTAAAAACCAATTGAAACAAAAACAATTCGAATACGTAATGAATTATTTGCTTTATGGTGCAAACATTTTTCTGATAATGCAAAAATGTGAGTAAATGCTACTATGTTCAAATCGATTCCAAAGCTGATTCCATCGAGAGATATAACTTGTGGTTCAGTTATGGTTGACTTTTCTCCCCCACAGACCTATTAATGTCGCAGTGTTGCAGTCATCTGCGATACCATCTTCCAACACCCTCCAAGAAGTTGTAGTGATGAATGTTACACAAATGGCGTGAATGCGTAACGGCGAATATGATACGAGGGATGAAAACGCAATAAATGCAACTCTGCAGTCGACGATAAGAGAAAGTCACCATCATAAAACCAATAATATCACCTCTTACAAATTTGTAAATAATTTTCTAAGCTGGGTGTGTCTGTGCAGACAAGTTATTAATGACTGGCGCCAATACATCTACTAACACGTACAGGTAGACTTAAAATTGATCATACGCGTAGAATTGTTGGCAGTGGTAATGGTATTTGTATTATGCCGATGCACGGCCATTAAAATGTTGATTTTATGCCAAGCGGTAATTTCGATTGGTTAATATTTGTTTCATCGGTCGTGATGTTAACGAACTATTGATTGTCGTCGATGGCTTATTAAATGCTAATTAGTGGAAATTTCTACGTTAATTTTATGTTTCAATGTTTATTCAATTATAATTTAATATAATCAAATTATTTCTTGTATTTCCACCAGAATGACAGCGTACTAGTTATTGATTAATGTCTTTTTAGAAATGGTATTATTATAAAACACGTTGAATTGCTAGAAATTGCTGATTGTGTCAAGCTGTGCGAAGCCGAATTGGCGAATATGTTCCACATTGTTATTACGCATTTTATTAATGCGTTTTTGATGAACGGTGAACGCTAATGCATTTTGTGGTTGCACGCCGGGAGTCTTTGCATATTTACCACTCGCTGTCGTCGAGTCGCACGAAAACACAAAAGAAAGCGCAAACATTCGATGCTATCGCCGCAATGGCGTGTGCGATATTACCATTTCAAGCCCGCCACGCGGGAATAGCAACAATGCCGTGTGGTAATAATAATAAAATAGTCATACATACACAACACACACTTGCACACCATTCGCTTTTGATTAATGAACCTATTATTAAGGCATTCGAGCGTAAGCAGCGAAATTGGCCCGATAGGTTTTTTATACGTTTTTTATTCATGAGCAGTGTCCATTGTTCGCTGGCGTAGAAAAAAAATTAAGCAATTGGCGCAAAACCACTGGAGGAAAATGCAGTGCGGATTTCTGGCGGCGACATCTCATTAGATTTTGAATAAGTTAGTTGATTCCGGCCAGTTTGTGGGCGCTCTACCTTTTCGTTGTGCAGCCGTCTTGCATTCAGCTTGAAGAAGTTTGCGATACGAATTCAATCCTGGCATTCAGCTTTTCTCAATTCGGTTCCTATTCAAAACCTTTGTTATACACAGGCGCTTACGGAAAAAAACTTCAAATACAAAAATCAATCAATTCGAATTTAATTTAAAAATTGACTTTCGATTTTTTTCTTCTCTACGAAATTTAATCAATGTTACACAATGTGTAGATGGAAAAATGTATGCGCGTGTGTATTGAGCGATCGCTAGATTTACGAGCGCCATTTCCGCGCCGCACCACTTGATCAGCCTTATTCCGCGAGCGAACCCTGTGCGCCCCGCTCGACGGATAGATTAATGTATATTCGATTCACTCTCCGCCTTTGCGCGCGTTTCACGAACGAAATCCTTTTGATTTATCTCGAGCGCATTTTTAATATATCTCTTCTCTATTGCAGCTCCGTTTCCCGGAGAGCTTTCAATTGAGACGTCGACATGTAATTTTCTTTTGTGTGCCTCGCAACACAAAAAAAGTAATCAAAAAAGCAGAAGAAAAAACTCATATGGCGAATTTTTAGATAACAGTGAATTATTTATTCAATTCTTTTTATAAATAACAAATATTCCTCCTCGTGTAATAACCTCACAACTGCTTATTGCAAATATTTCTGGTATTTGCTCCTGTATTCTCCTTTGGGATCATAGCTGGCTGCCAATTCATCGAACTGTGGGCGACGATTCTTTACGATGAATTTGATGACTTTCTCGACATTGGCGCGTTGTTTAGCATTGCATTTGGCGCAATCGGTCACAAGCGCATCGGGGATGATCTCCTTCAAGAGTCGTCCCTCTTCGTTGCACTTTGCTTTGCCAAGGAAGCACTTGATGTAGTTATCGAGCAAGCGGCGGTTGTTCAAGATGGAGTCGATGTTGATATCGTCGTATTTGGTTGGGTAAGTATCGGCTGCCTCCGTCGCGATGACAATCGTTCCGATGAACAATAAACCGTAGATGATGGAATTCATTTTTAGTGCTTCTTGTTGGTCAGTCAAACTAAGAATGATTTCATTTCCGATACTTGTGGGTTTTATATGATTTCGTCAAAAGTAATTAAAAGATAATACGTGTAATTAAATTTTACTTAGCTTTAAGTATGAGTCATAATCGGTTTTAATGCCATCTAATGGAGTTTCATTCGAAGACGATTTTATTTGAATATTTTCCATTGAATTTCTTCATACTATCAGCATAATGGAAACGTACAACAACGTGATGCACATTGTGCGCATGGCGTCTCTCCCCCCGCTAATATATCAATTACAAGCCGGCTCCCAAACAATGTGCAACAATTAATCCGCGCAATACATTGTTATCTGTTAATGTCACCCGCAATGCACGCAGTCGACCGGCGACGTACTCATGGTGGCCGCCTGCGATGCTGAACGTGGAGTGTTGCGCTGGCCGTGTGCAATAAGTACGGCCCAAGTGTCATTCGCACACACTGGATGAGCATAAATTCCGAACTTAGTTTGTTGTTGTTGCCGCCGCCGACGACGACGTGCGGACGCATGGTATTCGCGTGTGCTGGCACGTGTGCGCACACTTGGCGAGTTTGCGATGTTACGAAACGCCAGATGTGCACGTTTTTTTGCGAAAATTTAAATAATTTCACATTTCTAGGTTTATAGAGCACGGCAAGAATGAAATTGAATATTTATTCAAGTCGTTAATTGTTCTAAAAATCGTGAAATTTGCCGAAAACAAAATAAGTGTCCTCATTTTTTATCCTTATGCATTGTGTGAATCGTTATGCGTGTGCTTACTTACTCGAAAAAAAATAATGCGCACGTCCCCGAAGTAATTAAAATAAAAAGGACTTTACTGGGTGAAGCGCTGGTGAGTAATCGTCAAAGAATAAAGCATAATTACGCTTCACGCGCTGTGCGCACATTTTCATAAATTTCATAAATAAATGCGTTGAAAGTAATAAATGCCCGCCGCTTAATATTATTAATTAGCCCAAGCGCCCAACTGCCTGTTTCCCACCAAAGTGAGAAAACATTTTGACACATTGTCAGTCATTAGCGCAAGAATAAAAATTAATTTAAAGTACAAGTTAATAAAATATATTTAGTTTCATAGCTACAGGGATATTTGTAGTGTGAATAATGATTTTGGTGCAACATTTTGATATACACAACTGAACATCACATACACATCCCATTAGAGTATCGTTGTGTTTGAAATATTTGTCAGGAGGGTAGAACAGTAGAATAGTAGAATTTTTTTGATATAGTATAAGTCTATTATATTAGAAATGTACCTGTTGGGATATATATTGTAATTTTTTTTTAAACAAATATTTTTGAATTTCTAGATTTAACATAGACAACCTAGTATACTTATTGTATATAGAGGGAGGTAGTATGTCACTTATGTTTAGTCTTGTTTACACAACGTGTACATAACATACAAAGTCAGTGCATGTGCCAAACTTTTCTTCGGCGGATATTGTAGAACAGGATCGGGCTGTGTGTCGTATTATCAGTGTAAATTAGTAATTAATAACGGGTAATTTAAAATTACCCGTTTAGCGCATAGCTACATCAGATGTAGAATAACTATATCACTTGCAACGAATTGTAAGTATCGAAATTCTTTCATATTTTCATTCGTAACGTTTCTGTTTACTTATGCGAATTTCTAACTTTTGCGATTAACTGACGTGGATATCACTTTTGGATTGGTTTAAGTTCCTAGCTATTTAAAATAAATATTCATGAAATATTTACATTTGCCGATCACTTCAACTACATTTTAAACATTTAAAAAATTAAAATCTACATTTGTAAGTGCATAGTATTATCAAACAAAACATAAAACAAAATAAAAATGCAGGGGATTGGCTACAAAAATTGTATTTCTGTGTTGCAAAAGAATAATTTTTGTTAGTTCTAGTAGTTCTGCACTTGACCCTGACATAGAAGGGAAACCATGCATTAGATTGTAACCATTTAATTTCTTTATCATTTTTATAAATAACTGTAGTGATAAATTCGTTAATTTTCACCAAAAATTGCATTTTTGTGTTTCGAATGACTAATTTTTTGTTTGTTTCAGGGGTTTTGCACCTGAGCCAGACTTCGTAGAAGAACCATTCTTTCATCAGATTGTAAGTATTGAATTTCTTTATCATTTTCATAAATAATTTTAGCGATTAGCTTGTTAATTAGCAGCAAAAATTGCATTTTTGTGTTTCGAATGACTAATTTTTGTTTGTTTTAGGGGTTTTGCACCTGAGCCAGACTTCGTAGAAGAACCATTCTTTCATCAGATTGTAAGTATTGAATTTCTTTATCATTTTCTTAAATAATTTTAGCGATTAGCTTGTTAATTAGCAGCAAAAATTGCATTTTTGTGTTTCGAATGACTAATTTTTGTTTGTTTTAGGGGTTTTGCACCTGAGCCAGACTTCGTAGAAGAACCATTCTTTCATCAGATTGTAAGTATTGAATTTCTTTATCATTTTCATAAATAATTTTAGCGATTAGCTTGTTAATTAGCAGCAAAAATTGCATTTTTGTGTTTCGAATGACTAATTTTTGTTTGTTTTAGGGGTTTTGCACCTGAGCCAGACTTCGTAGAAGAACCATTCTTTCATCAGATTGTAAGTATTGAATTTCTTTATCATTTTCATAAATAACTTTAGCGATTAGCTTGTTAATTGGCAGCAAAAATTGCATTTTTGTGTTTCGAATGACTAATTTTTGCTTGTTTTAGGGGTTTTGCACCTGAGCCTGACTTTGTAGGAGAACCATTCTTTCATTAGATTGCAAGTATTGAATTTCTTTATCATTTTCATATATAACTTTAGTGGTTAGCTTGTTAATTAGCAGCAAAAATTGTATTTTTGTGTTTCGAATGACTAATTTTTGCTTGTTTTAGGGGATTTGCAGCTGAGCAAGACTTTGTAGGAGAACCATGTTTTCAGCAGATTGTAAGTATTGAATTACTTTATCATTTTTATCAATGATTTTAGTGATTAGCTTATTAATTAGCAGCAAAAATTGCATTTTTGTGTTTCGAATGACTAATTTTGGCTTGTTTTAGGGGTTTTGCACCTGAGCCCGACTTCGTAGGAAAACCATTCTTTCATCAGATTGTAAGTATTGAATTTCTTTATCATTTTCATAAATAACTTTAACGATTAGCTTGTTAATTAGCAGCAAAAATTGCATTTTTGTGTTTCAAATGACTAATTTTTGCTTGTTTTAGGGGTTTTGCACCTGAGCCCGACTTCGTAGGAAATCCATTCTTTCATCAGATTGTAAGTATTGAATTTCTTTATCATTTTAATAAATAACTTTAGCGATTAGCTTGTTAATTAGCAGTAAAAATTGCATTTTTGTGTTTTGAATGACTAATTTTTGCTTGTTTTAGGGGTTTTGCACCTAAGCCCGACTTCGTAGGAAAACCATTCTTTCATCAGATTGTAAGTATTGAATTTCTTTATCATTTTCATAAATAACTTTAGCGATTAGCTTGTTAATTAGCAGTAAAAATTGCATTTTTGTGTTTTGAATTACTATTTTTTGCTTGTTTTTGAGGTTTTGCACCTGAGGCCGATTTCGTAGGAGAACCATTCTTTCATCAGATTGTAAGTATTGAATTTCTTTATCATTTTCATAAATAACTTTAATGATTAGCTTGTTAATTAGCAGCAAAAATTGCATTTTTGTGTTTCGAATGACTAATTTTGACTTGTTTTAGGGGTTTTACACCTGAGTCTGACTTCGTAGGAGAACCATTCTTTCATCAGATTGTAAGTATTGAATTTCTTTATCATTTACATAAATAACTTTAGCGATTAGCTTGTTAATTAGCAGTAAAATTGCATTTTTGTGTTTCGAATGATTAATTTTTGCTTGTTTTAGGAGTTTTGCACCTGAGCCCGACTTTGTAGGAGAACCATTCTTTCATCAGATTGTAAGTATTGAATTTCTTTATCATTTTCATAAATAACTTTAGCGATTAGCTTGTTAATTAGCAGCAAAAATTGCATTTTTGTGTTTCGAATGACTAATTTTTGCTTGTTTTAGGGGTTTTGCACCTAAGCCCGACTTCGTAGGAGAACCATTCTTTCATCAGATTGTAAGTATTGAATTTCTTTATCATTTTCATAAATAACTTTAACGAGTAGCTTGTTAATTAGCAGCAAAAATTGCATTTTTGTGTTTCGAATGACTGATTTTTGCTTGTTTTAGGAGTTTTGCACCTGAGCCCGACTTTGTAGGAGAACCACTCTTTCATCAGATTGTAAGTATTGAATTTATAAGTATTTTGAATTGTTTTCTCAACTATATATAACATGGATAGTTTTTATTTTTCCTTCGTTCAAGTAACTTATGCAGAAATGGCAGAAGAAGTGAGCTAGAGCAAGAGGGAAATATTCCAAAATGTCATGTTCTATCCATGTTATCTATATGATCCATGGAGTTTTCGACGCCTTGTTTCTGCATTCAGTTCGACCTTGGCTTGCGCAGCATACTGTGCGCTGCTTTTGAGCAGTACCGTGCCGATTGCCGGCATCAAGTTTTCTCAGTCGGTGGTGCGCAGCGGTGTGTTCTGTACGTATTTCTTTGCTCAGTCGATTTTCATCGCGGCTGTTCGCAATTCTGTTGTTTTAATACGGTAGAAGCATTGAAATTGTGTGCCATCGACTATTGACTAACTGGTTTATCGCGAATCAGCTCCTAAATTAAGAAATCTCATCATGTCCGCGTGTTAATGACATTGGTCGCCGGCCGTCGGATCTCTTTAGTGCTGCTACGGATTTCAATTGAATCCAATGGATAAAATTATTCAATTTTTAATTTTTCAGCATAAAGCACGTTTTTTCTTGTGTGGGATTGTTGCTAGTGCAAAAGTACTACAGTGAGAATCAATTCTACTTTGTGTAGTTTGGAACTCCATGGATGGAACAACAAAGGAGTACTTAACATCAAGTAAACAATTTCCTCTGTACACAAAATTGTAATCTAAAATCACGTTAATTTTATCAATAACTATATATTTATATATACGCTAAATTAATATGGATCGAAGAAACTAAAATTATAGTCTTTCTTTATTTTTGTATTGTCATACATTTTCATATATTTAGTACTGTCGCAAGTGGCCGTATAGTTTCAATGTGCGTATGTAACAATACCTATGATATGTTCTTTATTTTTACTAGTATAAAGTTGCATTGTATGTTTTATTGAAATATCCATTGCAACGGTGTTATGGATGTGCGTATTTTAAGGCAATTCTTTACGTTCTCGGAATTTCATAGCCATGGTAATTTTCGATATGAATAATTGTCTATATTTTTATATGTTTGTAAATAAAACACAATATAATATTACAATCTCTTTCATATTTCTTTTTGGTATCATTCTCTCTGACATTTTCAGGCTTGGCGTATTAAGTCATATTGCATATAAGTCTTATACGCGTAGAGTGTGTGCAACATAGCTAAACTTAGCATAGTGTTATTATTTTTAAAAAGTTGAATAAAGTAAAAACATAAATAGAAGAATCAAATATTAATAATAAAAACACTCGGTGGTCGAGTGGAGAAGTGCACCTGCTGGCATGCTAGCAGACACGGATCGAATCCCAGGTGTAGAAGGCATTTTTCTCAAATATAAAAATATCAGGTGAAATTTGGGTTGCATATATGAATTGCAACGAAATATAAGAGAAATAAGAAAGAGCAAGTGGAGAAACGGAGAACAGAGAATTAGAAGAAGGAAGGAGTAGTAGAGAAGATAGAAAGAAGAGAGAACCGGAGGGAGTAGAGTAGAGAAGAGGAGGAGATAGAAGAAAGAGAACAGGGGAGGATCAGATTTTTAAATTTTTTGGCACGTGTCGTTATAAGACAGTCTACGGTCGATCGCCCACTGCTTCGATGTATCCATTGCTCCCGGCCCATCCTACAGCTACGATGTCTCTGCGCTTCATCCCCGGAATTATCAGGCATATCAACAATTTTTATGGTGGGGGATCATCCCCCGAGTGGGAGAACTCCTTATAAGGACATCCTTTTAAGAACTTATAAAAATATTTCTAAGTTTTAAGTCGTCTCAAGAGAGGAGACACTTAAAAATATTCTTGCAAGTTCTGACCTGTACCTGAAATGAGAGAAGGAGTACACAAATCATGCAGGATACCTTTACAATTTTTATAGTGGGGATCATCCCCTGAGAGAGGGAACTCTCTTAGAGACCTGTTCCTGAAATGATAGAAGGGGTACACACAAATCAAAGAAGTCAATATATCTTACTATTTCTTTATTAACAATAGAATACAAGTTTAGATTTTACAAGTCAACAAAATACATGCCGCCATATTGAGATAGGACTTACGACCTGCATAGCCGCGTACATATAAGCAAGTACCACTTCGTACAGTTCTACCGGGATAAAGAAATTAGCAAATAGCCCATTTTCTAGGTATATTTGAAAATGTAAATAAATATACAGGGTGTTACAAATGAGAAATTTAATATGACCACAGAAAAACATTTTAAAACCACAAGTATCATTCATTATTCTCCCGAGGCTCCGGGAAACTAATATACAGGGTGTTCTAGAAAGAAAATTCGAAGTGAAAAGAGGAAAATACTAAAAACATCAGCTAAAGCAAAATTTTCACAGCCACAAAAAAAACATATATACAGGGCAATCTAGAATGAAAATTCCATGTTCAAAACAGAAAACACTCAAAACTCACAACTAAAGATTTCTACGTACGTGCTGTTAAGAAAACTAACATACAGGGTATTACAGAAAAAAATTTCATAAACTACAAATGGAGTCAATATTCACAATATGAAGAGGAAAATTTACATATTACCAACAATGTTTTAATATAAAATCTGAGATTTTACCTCAAAAACATCGGAAAATTGAGCAATAGGGTGCTACACAAACAAAACACTTACATTTTACTATATTGCGAATATATATTTATTAATTGATGGTAGCATCAACTGTGTAAGGTAACCGACAGGTGAAGTATCATTATAAATTGATAGAATATCCGGCGGAAAACATCTAAATCAATTGACGGCAAGCGACGGCGCGTAGCAACACAGTAGTTAAAGACGATAAAAATTACTATTTCTTTGTATATATTAAGATATACTAAGACTGCGAAAACAAAAAACTATTCACCGTTCAAGATTTTATTTCAAAAAGAAATTATTAATTTAATGATGCAATTCGATTAAAAATGTTTACGTGATCATCGAACACAGGACCGAACCGACGGCCGACGGCAAAGTAAGCGTGGTCGACCACATGAATATTGTAATTTTAATAAAAATGCCACCACGTGTTTGTAATCTACAAAATTATTATCCCTCAAATAGAATAATCAATTTAAGTTATACCGTATTAACTTTTTGCGAAAAATTTTAATTATCCACGTAGGGTGGGTGCACCAGTGCCGCACCAGGCACCAGTAGTGCACCATTTCCACTTTCACATTAAAATATTAACGTTCTGTCGAATTTTCCGCCACTTTTTTTATATTTGATAGAACTGCCGTACTTCTACGAATCATATAATCGTAAAAAAAAACCGACAAATTCGCCATCCACATCAGTTTTTAAAGCAAAATGCGTAACAACAATCGTGCACTTCATTTTGAGCGGCCATTCTAATAAGCGACACGTCGACGGAAAGTTTTCTTAATTCTGTTTAAATCTTTGTTTATATCAATTTCTGTAACCGCTTTTCTAATCAATTGCGTACTATGGACTGTGAAGCATTAATATTACGTTTTATTTAATCTGAAAATGCTAATTTAAATCAATAATTGCCGTTGGTAAACTACTGGAACACGAATTGAATGATTTTCCAGTAATATACCATTTGGTCTACAACTGGTGATTTAGCTTTTTGATATTTTTTTTCTTTTTTCTCTTACATGTAGGTTTACTTTATGTTGCAATAAGATATTATAACAAAAAGAATACCATTATTCACAATGTTCCAGTTGTAGACCAGTGGTTTACTACTGGTAGTATCCGTACCACGGATTTATTCCAGTAACTGACCACCTACATTTTTTTATACACAATGCCACCGAAAAGAACATTTTTTAACTATAAGGAGAAAAATGTGTTAAAAGCGATAAATGAAATAAATAAAGGTGCAAAAATTTGAGAAATATGTCAAAAATACAACATACCCCACACTACGGTCATAAATAAAATAAAGTTAATACAATAATAAATAATATTTTTTTCCGAAGTACTTTCATGGTTTTCTATTTATTTTAATTTATTTTATATTAATTTTTTGATTCATGTTAATTCATAAATATTGTGTTATAACTATGACACTTGTGTAAGTGATACAAATTTTTGTTAATTATCTAGTTCTTAAACTAGTTAACAACATTATGAGCCTTGTAGCATTTAAATATTACTTGAAACTTGTAAACTGATTAAAAGTTGTGATGATTACTACATAAAAAGGAGTGGTTCACTATTGGCTCAACGTCTGGTCTACTGCTGGTACAGTCTGGTCAACCTTAGGCACATTGCGATTTTCCACATTTATTGTTAAATAACCAAAAACGTAACAGCTATTAAGAAAATTTGAATAAGCTACATGATTCTATGGTAGACAAGGAGTATGTAATCCTTTTTTTTGCAATGATTGTTGTAATAATTGAGTCACAATATCAAAATTACTTTCAAAATGTCGCTTAATTGGTTTGTTACTGGTGCAGTCACCCTACCTGTTCATTTCTCACTTAAGAAGATTCTAACCGACATAAATCATTAAACAAAACAGGCACACATGCCCATTGTAATTATTTTGCCGATGGCCGAAAGAATATACGACGATTAATCCAATTAAAACCTCAAAACGCGTGGCGATTAGAGAGGCACGCTTGCGGACCACGCGGTGAAACAACTGCCGTGTGCGTTGCGCGTAGCC